GGGGCCTGCAGAGGGACCAGGAGGTGGCAAGAAAGAAGGTGGGGGCGGGCTGGGGATGTGGCTCAAGTGGTAGCGCGCTCGCCTGGCATGCGTGTGGCCCGGGTTCGATCCTCAGCACCACATACAAACAAAGGTGTTGTGTTCGCCGAAAACTAACTAAATATTAAAAAAAAAAAAAAAGTTTAAAAAAAAAAAAAAAGAAGGTGGGGGCAATTGCAGGAGTTGAGTGGTGGTGAATGCTTGCTCTGTCCCCATAAGCTCACTGCCCCCTGCTTTGTGTCTCATGGTGGGGCTCCCATCAGGCCCATCCCACCCACGCCTCACTGTATTCCTAGCTCTCTGGCATCCCAGCTGCCGCACCTCTATTCCTGCTGCCCCTTCACCTGGAATGCCTCTTTCCTTTTCTGTTCAGCTCTAGCTTCCCTGTTTCAGTAGTCTCCCCTGACACTGGCACAGCCTGAACCCAGGCACAGTGGCACTATGGAAAGAATCTGACTTTATGGTTGAGATGTAGAYTCAAGTCCTATCTGTTATATGAACATCACTTCTTAATTCATAGCTAATACTTACTAGCCACATATTATTTGCTGAGTACCATGGGTTACCTTGTTGAACACTCACCACAACCTTGTGTTATGATTCCCATCTTACTACTGAGGGAACTGTGGCTCAAAGATATCAAGTAACTGTCCAAAGATCACACAGCAAGGGAGTGAGTGGTAGAACAGGAATGAGAGTCAAGTCTGTGAGGCTGCAACACCTCTGCTGCTAAGCATCCGAGCACATTTCCTTTGAGCATTTCTGGGCACCTCCTGTGCACTGGGCATTGTGCTAGATATGGTGATACAGGACGTGGGCAGACAGGGCCTTCTCTGGAGGAGGTTACTATTGGAGTCTCAGAAGAAGCCACTGCTGCGGGGACTGGGTGGAGATGATTCGTAGAATCTCACTGGGGACTGCCACTATGAACTGCAGTGTGGAGCTCACTCATATCAGTAACTTCTCCCTCCACACCCAGAGGCCTGAGAGCCCACATGAACCTGACCTGCTGTGTGGCCTCAGGCAGCCACTTCACCTCTCAGAGCCCAGCTTCCTCACCTATAAACGTGCATAGGAACAGCTACTCCTTAGGGAAACTCTGAGAATTAAATGAGATTGTACAAAGCAGTGCCAGGCCCCTAGTGGGAGCTCAGTGAGGGTTAATCCTGCTCCCTACACCCACATCTAGAACCCTCTGGATCCAGYAGCTCCTCCTGACTTTAACAAGCACTATAATGGGAACAACAGGGTGATCCTTCCAATGGCCTCCAGGGGGCAGGAGAGCTCCACACAGGGAGGGGATGGCTCACCGTGGGGCGGGGGAGTGTTCAATGTGCAGCCCAGCTTCCCATCTCCGCTGCCCCCACTCCTATTACCCCCCCCCACCTTCCCTCCCCATTCACTTGTCACCTGCACCAGGCCCTCCCCCCACTCTGTGGGGTATTGGAGGGGTGACTTGGGAGTACCAACCCTCCTACCCTGTGCAGGAGGAGCAGCTTGGCTTCAGGGCCTCCTTGGGGGTGATATGGGGGGTCACACCCAGGCCTGGCTCATCTCACTGACCTTCCCAGGGGAGCTGCTGCACTGAACTTCAGAGGCTGGAGCTGGGGTTCCCACTCCCTACTCAGAACTCAACCTAAGGATTAGAAAGACTTCCCAGCAGGAAGCAGTAGGCATGGAGTCCCTGCTACTGAGGTTGAGGGAAGAAGAGTTGAGTTAAAGGCCAACATAGCGAGGCCCATCTCAACGACTTCCCACCTTGCTGGGCTATTGCAGGGGTTGGTTAAGTCACTTCCGGTCATCAGCAGGTTACACACCTCCATTATTAGAGCTGGTCAGTTCCTCTCCTGCCCTTCCCCTAGAGGTGTGGAGACAGGAGCAACTTCCCAAGTGACTAGATCAAACTCCAGGTCACCCTCACTGGCCAAGGGGCCTCGTATCTCAGCTTTGATGTTACCTGTAAAATAGGGCTGATCCCTACCCAGCCCAGCTGTAGGAGGCCTGGATAAAAAGACACACCAAATAGTCGCAAAACACAAAGTGGTACCGGCAGGTATTACTAAAATCATCACTCTGATCAGGAGGTACCTCCTTGCCCTTCAAGGCAGCCCACCTGTCACCTCATTCTGGGACCAGAAGCAGCCATGGCTTCCTCCTCTGGATTCCCCAATCCATGGTTCTCTTCTAGAACAGCCTTTTCATATACTCCACAAAAATGGTCTTAATGCCTTGTAAGTGTATGATGCCACCTCTAGACCCAGGACAGGAACCTGGGTATGATGCGGAACAGACAGACATGACCCTGTTCTCAGGAGCTTCCGATCTCATGAAAGGTAGACCAGGAAAGTACATCATAAGTGGTCAATGTTATAATGCCAAGTCAGTAAAATGAGAAAATGTGGAATAGAAACGGAGGTAGAAGCCGGGCGTGGTGGCGCACACCTGTAATCCCAGCATCTCAGGAGGCTGAGGCAGGAGGATCATGAGTTCAAAGCCAGCCTCAGCAGTTTAGCAAGGACCTAAGCAACTCAGAGACCCTGTCTCTAAATAAAATACAAAATAGGGCTGGAGGTGTGGCTCAGTGGTCAAGTGCCCGAGTTCAATCTCTGGTACCAAAAAAAAAAAAGAAGAAGAAAGAAACTGTGGTAGGAGAGGGGTTGATTACAGATAAGGCCTTTCTGAGCAAATGACCTCTGAGCTGAGTTCTGAATGCTGCTGGGGGGGGGGGGGGGGGGGGGGGGGGGGGGGGGGGGGGGGGGGGGGGGGGGGGGGGGGGGGGGGGGGGGGCGAGAAGACCTATGAATCTCTACAATAAATTGTAGTGCCTGTCTGTAATCCCAGCTATCGAGAGGCTAACACAGGAGGATCACAAGTTTGAGACCAGATCAGGCAATTTAGCAAGACCCTTTCTCAAAATAAATATATTACTTAAGGGAGGTAGGGATGTAGCTCAGTAGTAGAGCACCTATGGGTTCAATCTCTACTACCAAACCAAAACCAAAACCTACAAGTGCCACTTATGGGGAGGCGGCTGCAAGAACAACCAGCGCAAAGGCCCTGAGGCAGGAGAACAAACATAGCACGTTTGGAAATAGGAATGATCCAGGTGAGCAGCAACACATATTTAGTTCTGAGCATGCTCATCGCTGTCCCTAAGTCTCCCTTCTAAAAAAGCCCCTTGAAGGTTGAGAGGACACAATACAAGAAAARCCTAAGGATGTGGTTTTGGTAAAAGTGCATATGGTAATGCTGGGAGTCAGCGGGCCCTTATGCAGCTCTGCCCACACCCTGGGGGACTCTGCTGGATTGCCTGCCCAGGTAAGGGGTTCTTCCCCACGAAAATAGACAGATGTCCAGAGAGGAAGCGCTTTGCCCAAGGTCACACAGTCTATGGATAGCAGAGGTGGGCCCTGAATCCAGTCTCCTCTGCCTCCCTGGCCTCTGGTCTCCTGTTCTGTCCTCACCCCTGAAGGTATGGTGTTGGAAGCCTTAAGGACCAAGAGGACAGTATCAGAGGAACTGTGCTGGGTTCCTCCTCCCCTGCTACAGAATCCACGTATGTGCTGGACCACCTGAGAGCAAGTGTCCCACCAACTCCCTCCTTCCACAGCCTACCCCAGGCACTTTACCAACCAGAGCCTGAGATCGGATTTGTGGGCTCTGTCAGATGCAGTCAGCTTACAATGAAAAGCAAACAGACTGAAGCCTGGGAGGCCGCAGCCCGACCTCCCCAAGGCTGCTGGGGCCGAGCTTCCCCTGTGGGCTTGCCGTGGGCCTGCCTCATGCCATTGTCTGGGGCTATCTGCCAGCATTGCAGGGCCTGATATGGACTATTAGACTTTGTCCCCTGGGAAGAATGACATGGCAATCTCCTGATCCAATCTTCTTCCATGCGCCAACAAAATTTAATTGGAAAAATTTTATTGAAAAAACAAATTGTACAAATAAGTTCTTATTTTGTCAGAAAAAAAAAAAAGGCTCACGTTTCCCCTTCCCCCCATCTTTGAAAAACTAAAAAAGGAAAAAAAAAAAAAAAAAGTTCATCCCAGGATGCCCAATACGATTCTTGACCAGGGTCTGCCTCCTCCTATGAGCGGTTTCCCCATCTCCCGTACCCAAGCCAGTCATTTTGGGGTGCCTGGTTCCAGGGACTGCAGCACCTAGCTGTGTAGCTGGAGGAAGTTGGGAGAGGCTGGGGGAAGGGGAGRGACTGAGGCCGTGGGAGGGTCAGCAGAGGCCTGGGCTGCACCCCCAGCTCCAGGTCCCACCTATAAGAAAGGATTGGCTGGATCCAGACTTGGAGGGTGGGACAGGATGGCTATCTCCCAGGTTGCACAGTTTGTAGGGTCTCTGGGCTCAGCATCATGGCATCTGGGGACCCATGTCCGAGCGGAGTGGACTCTAGCTGGGAAGGTCCGCTCAGGTGCAAGGAACCCTGGTCTGGTTTTCCACCCCCACCCCATGGGATATCCAAGACTGGTACCTCCCCCCACAATAGCACCCATGTGTCTCAGGAACCTTCTGCTGCTTCCTGTCATCCCGTGCCCACCTGAGGGCCCTACAATTCATCTCGCATCTTGTCACCCTTGGGCCGGACCAGGCGCCCAATGAACAACAAGGAACCACTCTGGGTGTCTCGCACCAGRAAGATGAAGGGGTGGTCTGCGTAGAACAGCTTGGGGCTGCGYAGCTCCTCACGCCCGTAGATGTCCTGGTCAAAGGGGTTGCCCTCTGTGTCCCACTCGAAGGCGGTGGCATGGAACACGCTGGCCAGGTACAGGTCCTTCTTGCCCGACATGCGCGACAAATCTGCCTTGTTCTTGTCGATGGCCTCGGTCAGGCCGAGCCCCGCCAGGTGTTTCTGTGGGACCAGGTGCCAGGTGAGACCACGGCATTCAAGCCTCCACCCACATCACCCTGACCACCCTGAGAAGACACAGCCAAGCCCAGGCCACACAGTCTGGGTGCCAAGTCCATCAGGGGCTTCACTCACATGCTGCTTTCTGTTTTCCTCCTCAAGCTCCAGAGGAGGAAACTGGGACTCAGAAATAACAACCAGACGTGATCCCTGTGCTGCCCAGCAACCTCAGGCTGTGCCCCTCGAGGTGGACTCCAGGGACAGATAGCAACCCTGGGAACAGATCTGAGGGCAGGTCCCCTGACCCCAGTCCAGACCCACCAAACCCACAAAACTCTGGGAAGGGGAGTGGACAGATSTTTCTTAAACTCTCTAGGAGATTTTAGCACACCCAAGTACTGACAAAGACAGATCAAAGGACAGCTAAGTCCACATCACTCCGGGGCTGACAGCATGTCCCGAGTGATATGACACCTGGGGTCTGCTTCCAAACGACCTGATGCCGGGACGAATGGTGGCTTCAGATGAACCACTATGGGGTATGAAGAGATGAGGGTCAAGCTGGGTGATGGGCATATGAGGGTTCCTTCCACTGATCTATCAAAATAAGGTGCTACAATGTTTCATGATAGAAAGTTTAAACACACACACACACAGGCATGCACCCGTGCATGTATGCACCTTCCCATGGCTTTGCACAGCACTTGGAGGCCAAATACCCATGTCCACACTGCAGCCTCCAGCCTCATCCCCTGGAATGCCCCACCCTATTCTCCACAGACAGCCTCCCTGAACAACTTGCCTCCAAGATGGCTGTCCTCTCTCGTTCTCCCCTCAGGGCTCTCCATCCCTAAGACAAGCAGTGCCCCTCGATTTCTCTCTCTCTAGCAATGATGGTCTTGTCTGTCCCTCCCACCTGGCTCAGAGCTCTGGAAGGGGATAGCCCTAGACAAGGCTCTTTGTGGAGGTCAAGACTGACTCTCAGTGTAAGAGAGGTCAGTGATGGACCATTGGCTGGCCAGGCACAGTGGCACAGGCCTGTAATCCCAGCTATTTCAGAAGCTGAGGCTGGAGCATCACAAGTTCAAGGCTAGTCTCAACAACTTAGCAAAACCCTGTTTCAAAAATTTAAAAAATAAAAATAAAAAGGATTGAGGATGTAGCTCAGCAGTAATGCACCCCTCGATTCTCTCCCCAGTAYAAAAAAAAAAATTCAAAAAGAAAAGGAGCATGGCTGAGTGRACAGCCGCCTCAGGAGCCCAGGTTTCTGCAGAACAGTCTCTTCTCTCTGGCAGGACCAAACAGTGACAAGGCCTGGGGTCCTGAGACTCAGGCAGTCCTGAGAGAGGTGTCTGAGCAGGCCTAGCTATTCATCCTGATGACTATGCACAAGTCACCCACCTTGAATTTGCCAACTCAGTCTACCCCATGGACTGTAAGTCCTGTCTCTGCTGAGCTCCAAAAGACACAGCAGAAAAAAGGAGAGACCATTGGCCAAGGGATGGGGAAGAACTGGGGCCAGGGCCAGGTGGGAGATAGTGCAGACTCTTCTTTGGAAACTGTCTACAGTACAGACCATTACAAGCCCTACTAGGCTCTGGTTTGGAGCCTAAGCCCCATTCCATCTTGAACTTTCTCTCCAAGCTCTCTGTGCAGTAAATCTGAAGTAATCTATGGGTCAGGAGCCTTCCTGGGAACCATTTCTGGCACCCAAGGCAAGAATGACATGAGTTTTCTCTCTTGAGTAGGTCAATTGTCTCCTCCTGACAAAAAGGCCACCCCATGTCTTCACCTTGAGGTCTAACTGCAGCTCCCCCACTTGCAAGCCAGTGGGACCTTGGGGAGTCACTGCTTCTCTCTGAGCCTCTGCCCACCACCCACATTGGTCACAAGGGGGAAATCCCCTTGAGCATGTGTGCAAGTCTTGGCCATCCTAAGGGACCTGGATGTCAATCTTATGTGGTGGATGACACTCCAGCTTGAGCAACCTCTAACTGGACATTCCAGACTCCCAGAGGCAGCACAGTGACTAGGGTCTCACTTGAGTGTACAATATCCCAACTACTGGCTAGGTAACTTTGAACAAGTTACTTAACTTTTCTGAGTCTCAGTTTCCTCATCTATCAGCTACAGTCCTCCCAAAGGAAGTTGTTTAGAGGACTGAGAGAGCTTAACATAAATAAAGTGCTTCAATGGCTGTCACACAGCAAGTGTCCATGGTATGATCAACTGCCCAAGGGCAGGTCCCACACATCCTCCCCTGCGTCCCCCCTATCGGAGCCCAGCCAGTACTGCCTAGACACCCAGGGGACACACTGGCCTAATCCCTTCCTCCTCTGCCAGGACTTGCAGGGCCAAGTTGGGCCAACCCTCACCTGTAGATCGTGGGTCACCTCCACCACACCCTTGGGCAGGGAGATGGCGACAGCCTTCTTCTGCATCTTCCCCATCCAGACCTTCAGCTGCTCCTTGGTCAGCAGCTTCTCAAGGCGCTCGAGTGGCTCCACGTGGTGGGGCATGATGATGATGAGGCTGGAGAGCTTGTGGGCCAGGGGCATCTCCAGGATCTGCAGCTTCTCCTTCTCATCATCATAGTAGTTGTAGAGGCCTGGGTGGAGAGCAGAGGACACTGGGTGTGCTGTGGAGTGGGGGATAGGACGCCGTCTAGAACCCCTGCTCCTCAAGGCACCTACCTGTCCGGTGCATCATTGTGACACCCACGGTATAGGAACGAGTCACCATGAAGCCACGGTTGTCCACCATCTTGTGGTGGAACTTCTCGTCCCAGTGTGCTGTGGTGGGAACAGAGCACAGGGTTAGAGATCCAGGTCCCCAGACACTATCACAGCCCACTGCACACCATGCTACACTTATCCTAGCCACGGGCAGGTGACCATTCTTGGGGGCCAGGCTTCAATGTGCCTCTCTCCTGAGCGCCCAGCCCACAGAGTGCATGTTCCCTGCTCTTGGGTGAGGAGTGCCCTCTAGGGCATGCTGTCTTAGAATGCAGTTCCTCTAGTAGGTCCCCAAGTAACAGGGACCTCATTCCACCCTCAGCTCAGCTTCCTCCATCTCCACTGCCTGTGTGGCACTTGTCAGGTGTTTGGGATACCTGCTGAGCTGGGCTTGCTACCCAGCCCGATTACTGAAGGGGGACTGTGTCCTGGGCAGGAGCACCCTGGACCACCCTTATTGTTGTTAGCAAGTTCTGTCTCCATGACCAGAAAGATAATGGGAAATTGGTTAATGTGTGTTGGGCCACAACCAGACCTGCCTTCTGATCCAGGCTCAGCAACTGACTGTGAGAGGTCTCGGCTCTCCCAGCTTGGCTCCATTTATAAAATAGGTTTCCTCATCCTTACAGCCAACCGATAAGAGTACCATCCAAGTAGGTACTCACACATATCCATGGACCCCAAATCTATCTTCAGTTCAATTCACATCMACTCCACCAGATCTTGACTCTCTACCTGCCAGCAGAGCCTCAACTTCCTTGCCTGTGAAACAGATGTAACACTGCCTGTCTCCAAGGGCTGCTTTAAGGAATGGGTGCCTTTCTCCAGCTCACGTTTGGGGCACAATGGATTCTGAATTTTATGGATTCCAACACATACAAGCTAAGGCACATTGCTTTGATGAAAAATGATATGTAGGAGCACATATCACATATCTGGAGTCCCTCTGAGGGCTTGCATCCCTGTCCCAGTCCTTTCAACAACTGGCTACCTCTCTTAATTTGGTTTGTAAAAGATCTCTGAATCTAGTGTATAAAACATTTCAAAAACCGTTATGCCTCCACAGTTCGCTGTGTTCAATGAGGAGCAGCGAAGAGCCCCCACAAGGAACTCTAGGAAGAGCCCGCCACCTTCACACCCTGCCCTGCAACTCACGCTTGAAGAACATGGCATTGACCAGCAGGGCGCCATCGGTGCGCTCCACGTCCTTGGTGACCTCGGGCAGCTTGCCGTCTGTGGTCTGCGCGGCCCACTCGTTGATGGACTGCAGGGCGCTGCGCTTGTCGCGGAAGTTGATCTTGGAGTGCTCGCAGTTATAGTGCTGCTTGCTGCTGCGCACGAAGTCGTCGGCGAAGCTCACCGAGCTGGGCCCGTACAGGCGGCTGCCCAACTTCCAGGTCACGTTGCGCGCCGTGGAGTTGCTGAGCGAGCGCAGCAGCTCGCCCAGGCCCGCGTGCACCTCCTCGTCCCGCAGCTGCTCGGCGCTCAGCACCGCCTTGGCCTGCGAGGCCGTGGCCGCCTTGCCGCCCAGAGACACCAGGCCCAGGGAGGAGGCCACCACCACGGGCGATAGCAGGATATTCTCCACAGCCTGGTCCTTGGCCATGGCCTGGTACAGGCTGAAGGCCAGGCCAGCGCTGCGCTCGGCCAGAGTGGCCGCCTTGGGGCTCAGCTTCTCTGAGGTGCCGGGGGCTGCTGCGGGTTTCTTCACCTCGGCTGCCAGGGCCATGGCCAGGAGGCACAGGGTACCAAGTAAAGGGAGGAAGCGCATGGCTGGAAGGTGGGTCGTGTGCACCTCCGGGGACCTGTGAGGGCTGCAAAGAAGAGTGTGGCCCTGAAGCCCTGTGTCTTCCTCCCCAGCTTCTTCCCGCCACCAAATTTCCTGAAGATGGGTACGAGTGAACCCAGAATTGTGGAATCCCAGATCCCACTCAGGGCTGCCCATTCTCTCAGGGGTCAATGTAAAGCAGGGTTCGTAGCAAATCACCACCAGGCCACCCTATTGGTTTCCTGCATTGGGCATCCAACACTTAAACACATATTTATGTGTTTACTGTAAATTTATTTCTGCCCCTAAGTAGCTTGTGGCTTCCAGCCTGTCTGGTTCCCCCACTGTATCCTGAAGGCCTAGCACATGACAGACCTCAGCCATTCCTGAGAGGAGGTAAACCAGGGCAACTTGCCAGACCCAAGGTCTCTATAAGTCTATATAGAGCTAAGCTGTGATCTCACATGACCCTGAGGGCCCTTTTCCAGTAAGAACAAGGAACAGTAGGACTGAAAATCTACAATAAGCCCAGATGCCTGGGCAAAGGATGTCCTGTGGGACAGACCTATGGGCCTGCCCCACCCCCATGCCTCTCCCCTTCCACTCTGGGATGTTAATGAGCCACTGCTAGGTTTACTCATTAAATGAAGAAGTCCAGGTGTTCCATTCTGCTACCCCTGGGATGACCTTGAATGTGTGTGTGCATGTGTGTCCACCCAGCCTGTCTCTCTTTTCCACACTGCAAGGGTCTAGGTAGACTTAGCCTACCCATCTGCCTACAGCCCCTGGACCAGACAGGAAATCCCAGAACTAAAGCTCTTGGGAGCAATTCCTTGGAAACTAGGAGGGGAAGGGGGTTTCCTGAGAGAATAAGGGCAGGATCCTGGGGAAGGGAGTGAGTCATAGCTCAATGGAGTAGTAACCCCTCCCCCCACCATCCAAGGCTGGCCAGATGTGTGTTCATCCTCCTAGGAAGCTGAAACCACCACACCAGATTCTATTCTTCACTCCCGTCTAACAGCCACTGCCACACAGGCCATCTGCTCCATGGCCTCAAGTTTATCCTCAGGCCCCTTCCCTGACCCCAGCAGTAGCAGGAACCCCAGGACGAACACCACTCCCCTTTCTGAGACTTTCAATCAGAACAGTCTCTATTCATGAGAGATTTCCTCACACACACCCTTCAGGTCCTTCCCCTCAACCTCATGCAACAGCACAGAAGAGAAAACAGGGCAAGAGGAAAAGTCAGAAAGAACCCTGGAAGAGACAGGTTCCACTACTTTGGCAGTCAAGTTTCATGGTCCTCCTATACACACCAAACAATATACTCTTGAGCTACACCAAATAAATATGAAAACTATGTAAATGAAAATTATAGTTGGAAATGTATCCTAAAGGAAGATAGAAAATTTGAAATCCTAGTGGAAGGCCCTCAGGGACTTTGGCCAGTGGGGAGAGCACTGGATTTCTGGGTAGCTTCTACTGTTGGCATCCTATCAACCCAGCCAGGTCTCCCACCTCCCTAGGACCTTGAAGTTTCAATTCAAAGAAGAAGCAAAGAGCCTCAGGAGAGGGAATGACAGAGGAGCAGAGTGCCACTGAGCTCCACAGACACCTGGGGGATGGTACAAGGGAGTTTGGGACCTCACCCTCAAGCACTGAAATGACAGAGGTCCTCAGGCCCAGATGAGGCTCCAGGCCTCCTCCCTCCCAGCCTTGGCTCCTTCCCCACCAGGCCTAAGGCCTCAAAGGCAGAGGTAGCATATAATTTATTGCATAAACAAGGACACTTAAGAGAGTAAAATGGAACATTTCTAATTATTATGCCAGGACAACAGGCACATGATCACCCTACTCAAAGGCCACCTCTAATCCAGACAGCTGATGCTGAGTTCAGAGCTCAGATAGGGCTGCACAGACCACCAGCATCCCCTTCCTTAGTGGCTGGTGGAGGAGTGCAGGCTGCCACGTGGCAGCCACCATCTTGACAGCCCCCACCCCCAGCCAACCAAAACCTCAAAGGGCTGGGAGGGGCTTCTCAAGAAAGCTCCAAATGACTAGTTTGGGATTTCTCAGGCAGCCACATAGCTCCTGCTCCTGGTGACGTGGCAGGCAAGAGGCTGAATTATCTCTGTAGGCCAGCAGAGGGGGCTTCCAGCCTGGGAGACAGGAGGCCTGGGTTCAGGTCCTAGGGGTGCTATGGATTTGCCAGGAGACCCCAAGAGCCTCCCTGGCTTCCTTTCACATCTGCACTTTTCAAGGGAAGATGCAAGGCTGGGAAGAAGGGCCGCCCCGTTAAACCCAGCAGCAAGAATGGAGGAAGGCAAGTTCCTGCAAGCAAGCCAGCCTCCCACAGCCCAGCCCATCTTGCCATAGAGAAATGCCAGCCCTCAGGCCACTGTTAGACAATCTACAGTTGCACAAACAAAATCCAAGATCTGCATAGCCCACAGCTGGCTGGACTGAGCTGGGGCTGGGAGGGGAGGGAAGGAGAGGCTGGGGGTCAGAGGGTCTCAAATATTTGAGAGGAGTCTAAAGTACCTTGAAACTGCCTCAGAGGGAGGTCAATGCCTGCCTTTTTCATTCTGAAAGAAAACAGAAGAGTGAAGACAACGGGACCCCACAAAGGGGAGGTTGGGAGTAGGGGCCAGGCCCAGCCCCCAAAGGGCACCCGTCCCAGATTTCCAGGGACCTCAGAGATGAATCACGTCACTGTACAGTGGGAGAAACTGAGGCACATCTGGCAGGGACTATCCCAGGTCCCACAAGGACAAATAGCGGTCAGACTTCCTAGCACAGGGCTCCATCTATTCAGAAACACTCACAGAACCCTCCTGAAGGCCACAGGTGGTGTCCCGTTGCACAGCCAGAACAACAAAAGGTCTGCTAGGAATCCTGGTGACCAGAGACAAAGGCCAGGGCAGGAAAGGGGGATGGGTACACAAAGGATCAGAGGACTAGAGGGTGTGGCCCCAGTCCAAGCTTCCAGGCAATCAAAGCCCCCAGTTTTCTCCAGGCCTCCATCCGGGCCCTGCAGCCCTGCAGCGCAGAGGGACCAGCGGCAGGAAACCAGGGAAGAGGAGGGGCCAAGACTTCAGGCCCGGCTGGAAGTGCTTTCATTCTTCCCCTCTCTAGATGCCTCAGGAATGTCCCTAAGCTGGGGGTAGGGAAGCCCAGCCTCTGAAGAAGCCCTAACCCTGCAGTTCCTTCAGGAACCAGGTGGGTAGACAGAGTAAGGGTGGATGACGCCCACATCTCCAGTGGGTCTCTCGGCCCCAGTCCCTGCCCCCACCCTACATAAGACCCTGCAGACTCCCACTCCCTTTTTGAGGGGGAGGGGGGCTGGCTGCTTATCTCTCCCTCAGCTGCCATGCTCTACACATACCACTCATCAGAAATGGAGCCCCTTTTGGTGATTCCTTCTGAAGCATGGAACCCCAAAAGCCAGGACCTCACACCCCAGGAAAAGCTGAGACCGGTTCACCTCCTCTCCTAGGCTCAGATGACCCTCTCATCAAGCCTGGGAGTGACCCATCAGTCACTGCAGGACCCTGGTCCTCCAACTGCCAAGCTGACCAGCCGCATCCCTGTAGGAAAGGCCCCGGCTCCTCCTTCCTGTTTGCGGAGGGTCCGGTTCAGCACCCCAACTCCCAGCCCCACTGTCTGTCTCTGCCACTACCGGCTCCCTGAACTTCTAGGGGCGCTGCACTTTTCCCAGCCCCTGAGAGCGCACAGATCCCCGTCCCAGCCCTGCTCCCTGCGCCCTGCCCTGCGGGTCTGTATGGCTTCATCGCCTCCAGGCTGCGATTCCCCCTCACGATGCTCCAGCTGCCCCCAAGTGCCTGCGACTTCATTTTAGGGGCTCTGGTTTGGACCCAACGCCTCCTAAAGGCCACCCGCCCCCTCTCCCGAAGCACCCCAAAATTGTTGAGCGCTCCCCCGGCCGCCCCTACCCCTCACCTGGGTCGGGCCGGCTCTGGGACCGGGAGTCTCACCTCCGGGCTGCTTTGGGTTGACTGTACTCTCCGCCCGCTGCCTCAGGCCCCGGATCTATATATGGCTGTCCCCACCCCCTCCAGCCCCCGTCCCAAGAAACTTCTGGAAAGTTGGAAAAGGCTTCCGCAGGGCGCCCCAGCTCCACCAAAAAAAAAAAAAAAAAAAAAGCCAAAGACCTCCCCCTAACCGCCTGCCTCCCGCCCTCTGTCTGCAGGCTGAGGCGCTGTCCAGGCCCCTGGGTCCTACTGTCCCCCTTCTCTAGCTGGGCTGTGGGGCATCAGTGAGTCCCCCCACGGTGACTAACTAGTCCTTCAGAACACACCAGTGTCCTTTGATGCCGTGGAGACTTGGGGACCCTGGTGGTCTTGGAGATGGGGGAGGGGGATTCGGGCCACTGAGCTGGAGGAGGCTTCAAGGTCCAGCTTCCCCGGACTGGAGCCCCTGCTCCAGGCTCTCCAGGCAAGCCAACCCGCTCCTGATCTCACATTCTCTCTGGCACCCCTTTCCATTGCCCCTCTCCACTCTCACTGTTTTCAAGGTGAAACTTAATTGGGTCCCCCAATCCCTGCTTCTCCTCAGTCAGGGCCCTGTTCTTTGCACCAGGAAAGGTAGTCAGACTTTAGGAGTCAGTGCCCTTCAGTTCTGGGTTGATCCTAAAATCTTCATCCTCCCCTGATCTTTATGTCAGTGGCCATTCTGAGACAGTGAGGGCTTGAACCAGACCAGGTACCTGCCCCTCACCCTGGAAAGTCCAGGTCTTGGAGTGATCAAGGCAGAGACTGCTGGGGAACATCAGGTGGTCCTGCTGGGCATGGAGAGGAACACAGAAGGAAAACCCTGGCTGTCCACTAAGGACTGTACCACATGATTTTCTGTATTATCTCTGCCACCACCCCTTCCCTGAAATTCTAGGGGTGCTGCACTTTTTTCCAGCTCTGACTCCCCATCCTTGTGCAACACTCTGTGCTACCCCTCAGGTTTGCTCCATCACCATCTAACTAGCCCCAGTTCTCCATTCCTCAGTCCTTGACTGAAATATGGTGCTAATCGGAGCATTCAAGTACTCAGGAGGCTAAAACAGGAGGAAGGCAAGTTCAAGACCAGTCTGGCCAACTTAATGAGACTCTATCAAATTTTAAGAAAAAAACAAAAAGGGTTGGGGTTGTAGATCAGTGGGAAGACACTTGCCTGGAGACCCTGGGTTCTATCCCCAGTAATGAAAAAAAAATTGTGCTAAGTCATTTCTTCATCTTCTTTCCCCTCTTTCCCTTTTTCTATCTCCAGTTCATTGTCCCTGCACCCCTCCTGTCTCAATGCCTTCCCACAGGCTCCAGGTCTCACTATCAACCCTTCTCACCCCACCCTCCCACAACTGATAGTACCTTGAGCTCTGAGTTAACCTAGGGTATTCATTGTTCTGGCACTGGACAAAGTCCCTGACCTCGGGGATGTCCATTGTGAGGGGTATGTGCATGTTAGTAGAGAACTCAGTAAGACAAATTGTTTAGTAGACCCCACCCCAACCCTCTTCACTAGTGAAATGATAGATAACTAATGGGCACAGTATGGAGAGAAAGGGACAGAGAGTATAGAGACTGTCTTCACTCACTACTAGTCACTCATTCATTCAGTCAGCAAAATGTTTGAGCACCTTCTTTCTTCCAGGTCCTTGTCAGATCCTGGAGAGCAAATGAATTCCAGTACCCAGTAGATGCATCCTCTGGGTCCCTGGCCTCAGTCATTCGCAAGGGGAGACTAGCTTCTCAGTCTGGATCAAGGTTTGGCTGATGCTATTCAGTCTTCTGATTCCAGGGACTATGGGAAATCTTAGATCTCAAAAGCTTCAGACTCTGAATTAGGGTCAAGGGATCACCAATTACTTGAATCCTAAAGAGACCACCATACAACATGATCTTACACTTGAAGCCACATAGAATCTTGGAGCCCAGCTAAGGGTTCAAAGGATCTTAAAATAAAAGTATTAAAAACTCTGAGCAGCAAAACGTGTCAAATGGCATAGACTCCTGTCTACAAGTACCAGGCAGAAGTCTTCTCTGCTATATCCTAAAATGTCAGGTTCCTGGTACCTCTCTCTACAGGGAACCCTGTGGCCTTTAGAACAGCCCAGTATTCTTTTGGAGGACAGGTCTGATCCTTTTGATTCACAAAAGCTTTCATCCTTGGGGTGGTGTCCATCTCTTTGGGGTAGCTATCCTAATTCTTGTGTGTGTTCTGCTTAAACTGTGTCTGCCTATAAGGAGAAATCCTTCTATATAAGGACACTGCCTGGATCTCCCAGCAGACCCCATCCTCCACCCTCACCCTCACCTCGGCCCCAGGTGAGCTCATGACTTCGTCAGTGAGCTAAGGACTGAGACAAGGACAGAGAGGGCTCATCAAAGCTAGTGGAGGTTTGCCTTGGTCTCTAGCAGATTCCAATGTCAAAGTCTCATCAAGAGTTCCTTTCTATCAGGCATGGTGACACATACCTCTATAATCCCAGCAACTCAGGAGGTTGAGGCAGGAGGATTGTTTGAGGCTAGTGTGAGCAACTTAGYAAGATCCTGTCTCAAAATTTAAAAAGATTAGGGATGTAGCTCAGTAGTAGAGCACCCCTGGGTTCAATTCCCAGTTACTGCCAAAAAAAAAAAAAAAAAAGACTTCTCTTCCTCTGTACACTTCCATATCTCAGCTTTCTTAGGCCCTTAGACCTCACCAACATTGGAGGGGAAAGCTGAGAGTACTATGACTGTTCCATTTTGTAGAGGGGTAAACTGAGGCTCATGCTGTTAAATAAACCCAGATGTCTAAAAGGTGAGGAATAGAGGGGACTGAGGCTCTTCATTTATAGACAGGGAAGCTGAAGTGGGGGCCGGTGGGGGATCTGTATCTGAAGTCCCTCTGCCAGCCTCACCAGACCCATACTGAAGCGCAGACCAGGCCAGAAGCCTCCTCCATGGCTTATCATGCTACATGATCTCAATGTTATCATCCTGGATTGTCAGTGAATGAATGTCCCTGAAGATTTTGGAAGAGCAGGGCCTCACCCTTGTCATCTTGAATCCTTAGGTCCCAGCTCAGGGCATGGCACAAAAGAAGCACTTGGGGCCTGGGGCTATAGCTCAGTGACAGAGCGCTTGCCTAGCATGCGTGAGGCACTGGGTTCTATCCTCAGCACCACATAAAAATAAACAAATAAAATAAAGGCATTCTGTCCAGCTACAACTACAAAAATAAAAAAATAAAATAAAAAAGAAGAAGAAGAAGAAGAAAGAGAAGAAGAAGAAGAAGAAGAAGAAGAAGAAGAAGAAGAAGAAGAAGCAGCAGCAGCAGCACTTGGTAAACACAGCCAGCCAGCACCAGTGAGTGATGCTCAGTGGCCGACCCAAGTCTACTGCCCCACCAAGCATGGCCTTTTGGAGGAAAGAAAGGCCACGGCTCCTTTAAATTTCCAGCATCAGCAAAAAAATGTCAAGAGCCTTTGCCACATTATTCTTAGCTCTGAGCCCAGCCCAGAGGCTGACTGTGGCCCTTCCCCCACATTCCAGGCTGTACTTTCTGGAAAAAGCACTCTTTGAAGGGGGGGGGGGGGGGGGGATTCTGAAATGCAGAGAAACTCAAGGATTTCTTTGGTGTCTGGATTCTTCCAAGTGCCTGCAAATCTGTTCCTACTACCCTACACACAGGAGCCCAGCTGGAAAGGTCCCCAGACAGCAGGGAGTAGAAGACCAGCAAGTCCAATTGCATTTACACTCTACAGAGAGGAAAACTGAGACCAAGAGTGGGGCAGGAATTTGCTCAAGGTCACATAGCAAATCAGAGATGGAGCTGGGCCATGGAGTCTGCGCCCTGGGCCCTCTTTCCCTGCACACCCTCTCTAGCTGACCAGTGAGATAGGCAGGCTCCCGTTCTGCCAGGGACTACGCAAACAGTCATGGCCACATTCACTCAGACCTCACCCCATGGACTCTTAGGACAGAAACAAGCGTGTCATATAAGTGCCCAGCCCTTCCACGTGCTGCCCAGCATCCTCTGCCTCGGTTTCCGGAGTTGCTGGGGTTACAGGAGCATAACAATGGGCCTGGCTAATGTCTCAGTCTTAATTAAGAACATTAGTTGAGAGAGGTTTAGTACCCTTTTCCTTTTTATGTGGCATAAAGCTGGGCCAGAAAGGCTTTGAAAACCAGTTCTAGTGATCCTGTCCCTGGAGGAGGCAGGGCCACCCCCAGGCTGCTCCTCCGTGACAGCTGTCCAGAGCCAAGTGTGTTCTYCGGCCAAGGCATGAGTCAGGAAAACGCCGCTCTGCAATCTCTGATTCCCTCTCATGGAGCGTGGGGCCTTCTGTCCAAAAGGACTGTCCTACATGCTGCCACGTAGGAGTGAGGGAGGCAACAGGCCACCCTGGGGGTAAGGAGGCGGGCACAGATTCATCCCTCCTCCTGGAGCAGGCCCGCCTCCACCCCCACCCCTCGGCATTTTTCTGGTGCCTAGGGAAGCCACAGGAAATCCACTGCCTTCACGCATGATCTCCAGGGTTACCGGCCCRCTGATACGCTGTGCTTGTCCACGTGGCCGTGAGGAGCGCACACATACATCTCCAGCAATCCAAATGCACCACATGTGGCCCCTGTGCCTGATAGTCATGTGTGCGAGGGCACAGGAGTCCTGCCTCTTCTCAGCCTCTGCCTCCCTGGCCTCCTCTGGCCATTCTMGGAAAGGGCTCAGGCATCAAGCAAGACCAGGATGGGATAGGCGTCATTAAATACCACCCTGCCCTTTCTCTTTCCTTCTAGCTGTCCTCTCCCCCAGGGACTTCTTCACATGATAACARTGATGTTCAGGTGGTCCACAGGGCTGTCACCTCTGTCTTGTATCTCTGGTGCTCAAAAAAGGGACCTTGAGCTCTGACAACCTCCCAGCCCAGCTCTAATCTGCTCAGTTCAGTGCAGCACCCACTCAGGAGACCTGGAGTCCTGTCCCAGCTCTGCCACTTCTTGGCTATGTGCCCATGATCTAATCGCCCCCTCTGTAAACAGGACTGCTGCTCTCAAGGCTGATGAGAAGCACAGATGGAATAACACCTGGAATGACGTCAGACCTCCTCTCCACACAT